GCAACATTATGCCTCACATTTAGTGTGACATTCATCACGTTTAGTGACTCCATCGTTGCAAGCTTCGTTGTTTGTAAGGTCTTTTAGTTGCTCTGCCTTGTAAATTATTTATTTCGCTCTGTTAATCCGTGCTTATTGTAATCCCATTTGTTTACGCAAAAAGCTATGGCAAACCCGACACAGTGTTTTCGATTGTTTTGCTTTGCCCGCTTTTACAGTTCCCGGAATAATTGCATTTTTTATAGTTTATTTTTCCACTAACAAAATGATCATTGTGTTAAATCTATTTTTACAGCTGTTCCTAAGCTTCTACCAGCGGCAGGGATAACAATATTATTGCATTACTATCATTTTATTTTACTTTTTTCTTTTTTATTGCGTTTTTACAGTTCTTGAATGCGTCGTGCGCCCGGTTAGGCTGCGGAATGTCAGCGACAACTGAGCGCCTCCGCCAGTACAAACGGTTTTTCATCCACTTGCTCAGTGTCCGGTTAGACACTCGGTGGTCTTTGCACCCACTCGCTGTTGGTTTTAGCTTCGCCATTTGATTTGCATAATTTATTTGTGTCATTACCGTTGCCTTTTGCCTTTAGTCTTCATCTGTCTTTTTAGTAGACTTTTTGATATATATTTACATGGATGAAATAATATGAATTTTAATGCGTGGAGATTGTGTAAATGGTTTAAACCAGATTTAATTTTTTTATATTTCGTGGACAAAATGTGGTATTTGAAATTTTGTTCTCTTTATCTTCTCGTTTTCTAATTTACAAAATTTCTATTGGACATAGTGTTTGAAATTTTAAAACCTAGTCCTAACGAACGTGTGCGACTGCAAGATCCCTCTGGCTCAAAGTGCACTGTAAGAGGTCCTCCGTACTACCTACACTTAGCCAAGTCAATCTCGCCGCTATTATAGGTGTTCTCACTTCCAATAGGTACATATTTGGTTGGACGCTCTTTGCCAAAGCTGTATGGAGGAAGGCGAGTTGAAGTCATCTTGTCACTTTCTCCTTTATTGCCCGTCTTTTGCCAGACTGAGATTGAAATAATTCGGTAGACACACTTTTGGAGAACCTAGCGAAATGGCAGGTATTGATATTAACCGTCTTAATAAATTTGTGGCAAGCTCAAAACGTTTCGTCGATCTATGAGGTGATGCGCTTCAAGTAGTTTTCGGGTAACACAAAGAACAAATATCTGTCCTAGTGAAATCTATCAAGGAGTGGATAAATTCCCACTTTGCCCAAAAATCCATCAAAGGCTAGAAGAAACACTAAACGTATGGACCAATCAATCCATTCCATCGAGTCAAAATTTTTCGTTTCTATGACTGTTCAGCCCCTGCATTTTTATTCCACTAGCTCGGTAGCATTTCTCAAAATTAATTTCAGAATGTTCTCTACACCTACAAAAGTAACAACATCGCTACGAAAACTCTTCTGTTTTCTTTATGCCAAATATCTTCTAGCTTTTTTGTTGTAGCAATAGGTTTTACATGACAAGATTTTTTGACAGCAATTGAGCAGCTGTTCGGCAAAGTTCGATTCAATGGACCTTTAAAATTTGACATAGGAAATAACCAGTCAAGTTCAGTCTCTCTTTGTGACATCTTTCTTCTCTAATATCAGTAGTAGCAAAAAATAAAAATTGCGGAGCTTGAGAGTCAAAGACTGGATGATGTAACAAATGTAGCTCAGGGATTTTAATGCGCCCAGCTTTGAAGATGTCAGCAAACATCTCATCACTTCATAAAGTAATAACTGCCTGAACAACTTGTAGGTTTTATTTAATATAGTTATAATGTTCTGGAGCAGGCCAAATATGCACCGCTTTTGAAAAAGAAATCTCTTGAGAGAAATTTTTCACCAGCAAAATAATTCGCCATAGACAAGAACAGGTAGTAATCACTTGGTGCCAGTAATCACTTGGTGCCTCCCAACCAAGCTCCTGTGGCATTTGGCAGGTCACTATTGTTGTGTGTGGCTGGCGTTGTGACGATGAAATACGATTCCTTTCCTATTGGCTAAAGCTGACAGCCGCTGGACGACTGCTTCCTTCAGACGAGCATTTGTTGGTAGTACAGGTTCGAATTAAGAGTTTAGTTGTCGTGGAGCCGCTCGTAGTATATTATTACCTGCTAATGCTACCAATCCCTCCAAATACAAACCAAAACCTTCCTGATCGTCAATCCTGGTATAAGCCTCACACAACGGTCGTACTTGACGATTTCGATTATTTTATGGAAACTACCGGAACGCAGTCGACGAAGCCGCTTGGCTTGCGTTTTCGTCTTTACCAAAGAAAAAATGCAATATATGTACATACATAAACTTAGCGGTAGTATTTGCGGTGTATTTACGAGTTTAAAGGTTTAAAGAGTTCGCATATCAAGATATCATTTAAAAAATGGACGAAATAACCAACATAAGCTGTTTTCTTTTTACCAAAGCTTAGAGAGTAGAAGTTATGATAACTTAGATGAATGAGTCGTAAGATGTGATAACTTATAGAAAAGTCAATCGAACACACTGCTGGTATAAATTGAGTAGACTGGAATGGATAGAAAAATTTTATAATTTCAATAAGAGGAATACACCTACATATTTGAGGAATCTGGAGAAGCGACGAATCTAAAGTTAACAGAATGCCAATCGGTTATATGAGGTAGTTTTTTACTTAAACAGTAGGTTACCACTTTTGAGGTGAAATAAGGGTTTTTATCGAAACATAATTGTTGGTATTGAAAGCTAAAAAGAAGCAAAGTGAAGAAAACGGTTTCACATGCTTTTGATATTCTTTTAGGTTAAATCAACAAAATAGCGGGTTAACCGAGGGGAGTCTTTATGATGTCTATGTGCCTTGGCAGATGCTGGGGTGCATTATGTTGTTCATATTTGAAATTTTTAAAGCAAAAATTCATTCTAATGGTGGCTTACACGTGTGAGTGCAACTGCTAGGTCTTAAATTGAGTTCCTTTTTCATAGCTGTTTCTAGCGGGCACAAGAAGTGTGATGTTGCACGTGCTTGTGGCATGCAAGGCTAATGCGTTCACTATTGCTTTTGTGGCTGTTGTCGCGTCCTAGAGACAGCATTTGCAGAATAAAGTGCATTTTTATTACACAGATGAGTGCAGAAGAAACGGAAATGCTTCACACACACACACGCAGCAAAGTGTTTTTCATTTTTAAAGTAAAGTAAACTGTATGTTGCTGCCATAAAACAAACAACATGTTGCACGCAACAATGTTTTGCCCACATTCTCAGACAAAGGAAATATGTATGTAAGAACACTGAAGAGGCAAGAAAAACGACGCTACAACAACAAGCTGCTTTCTGCAAATTTCTTTGCTGCCAGTGGAGGAGGAGGGAGAGAAGACTACACAGAAAAAGTGAATTATACTAAGACGTTGTAGCGGCAAATACACACGTCCAAGCGTGTACGTGTATGTGTGTGTGTGACGGTAAAGCGGTGGCTTGCCAAAGCCAAGCAGTTGTCTTCGCAGCAGTGCATTAAGTGTTGTATGCATTTGCAGTCTTTTTAAATATTATGTAATGGAAAGCAATTTTGTCAAAGCGAAATTAAATTGTCATTTACTCGTGTGCTTGCACCAAGCACATGTGAGCAAAGTTTGAAGAAACCTTCGTTAACTCGTTGGTTTTTAGGAGCAGAAATAAAGTATTTTACTAGCATACAAAAAGTGGAGTAAAAATGTTGTAAATATTTCGAATCTGAAGACTAAGAAAGACTCTTACTCTGAGTATTTTGATTACTGAATGCTCTGTGTATTTTGAAAAACTACTCTTAATCCAAAGTACCACTCACTACTGCGAGTACTATTTACAACTCATACGCAATCTATTACACTACCCATTACTTAAAGTGCCACTCATTGCTGTGAGTACTAATCACTACGCAATATAATACTAATTACTCATAGTAGTACTCAATGTTCTACTCATTACTCATATTACTATTCACTATTCAAAATTCTACTCATAACTCTTAAATACTTATATTACTACTCACTACTCAAAATTATACTTATAACTCTAAATTAAAAGAAGCTACGAGCGCTGACGCTATAGCGTAACTCTGAATTTCATAAAGGCATTGCTAATTATTCACTACTCAAGTTATACTTTGTACTAATCATTCGTTAAAGCGTTGAAAAGCTTTCTAAAAAAATCAAGGAATCTTTCGTATACTATATATATTTTGCTAATAATGCAACTCTAAAACCTTATCGACACCAGTGCCACCTGTCGGAAATGTATTGTGTCTACTGTTGTTTCGAGCATATATATTTTGCTATAAAATGATCTCTAATACTTTTTGTGTCTGCTACCGTACTTTTAAAGACTTGTACTTCTTACGAACGCAAATGATTATGTAGCTCGTAGTTGAACTGTATTGAGCTGTTTGTTCTCTAACGCTTCTTACGTAGTTTCTACTTTGGTTTCCTTTTGCTTCCTCCTTTCTACTTTCTTTTCCTTTATTTTGCTATTTTTTGTACATTTTTTACACGCAATATTGCAAGGATAGTAATGGTAGACACACATATGCAGCACATGCATAAATAATTTTGCGTATATGCATTTATGTTGCAACTTAGCTGCCCTAGCGTAAATATTTTTCTTCTGAGTCTCCCTGCTTTCTATATACATATGTAGACTTGTTTACAAGTATGTACATATTATACTCGCATATGTATGCATATGTTTTTAATGGCATGAAAAGTATGTCTCGTAAATGTGTCATAAGCTCTGCGTAAATGTTACTTTGCACGCATAAATCCATGTTATATTTATTAGCTCAAGTCAATAAGCGGGATTACTGCTCGTTTGACACAGCAGTAGTGGGTAAGACACTGCGTATGAGCAACATACGACTTGGTTGCGAGCGGCAGAAGCGTTTGTTTTATGGATTTGTGAATAAAATTGAATATTATTGATATTTATTTTATTTAATTCAAAACAAGTTATCAATTTTAGAATTGCTGAGCTACGTATTTATATATTTATTATTTTTTTTTTTTTGATTTATGATATAAAAGTCAAGATCAGCGTAGAGACATAGTTTAAGTTTTTTATTTTTTTTTTATTATTTAATTTAAATTTTTTTTTAAATTTTTTTCTCCACGTCAGTAAAATTCAGCTTTTGTAAAAGCTTATTCGCTTTCAGATCCATTTCGCTGCAAAACTTGCGTAGGATTGAGTTCATAGAAAACTTTAGAGTATTTGTAAATAAAGAACATGCAAGCAGCAAACACAACTGCAACAATAAAAATAATCCAATGTTAATATATGTACATTTAAAATTTTGTATAAACGAGTGAAAAAATTTAAACTTAAAAAAAATGCTGTCAATAGAAAAATGCTCACATATTTCTAACCACACGACAGCTCAAGGAAGCTCGCTCAGTAGATTATGTAGATATTATACAAAATACTAATAGGATTTCTTTTGTTCTTTTGTTTTATATGTTTATATAAATGTAAAAATGAAAATGTTGCCACCTATATGGAAATTTTTAGACAACAAATTGACAGAAAGCAAACAAAAAGTTGTAAAATACAAAGAGAAAGTAGCTTAGAAGGCTTTCGGTAAAAAGAGTTACGAGAAGAGTTGCCACCTGTTAAAAAATATTTAACTTATAAAACTTATAATGTAAAATGATTATTGCAAGATGAATCTTAGGCGTTATACAAAACTTACTGCCTTGTTATTAATGAAATAAAATAAAAGGTTGCCAGCTCAGTAAATTTTTCAATCAGTATATTTATATAAAAATACAATATTATAAATGCAGAGGTAACAAATGGCTTATGAAATATTTCGGCTAGAGATACATTTTATAAGCGTTGCCACCTGCAAATATTTTTACTTAAATTAGAAGTATTAAATAATGGATACCAAATTGAAATTTACAAAAGATTTCTGTCGGAAAAGCTGCTGGTAAGAGTTTTCATCTGTTGAATTTTTCATGCCATTAAATTAATAAAATATACACAATATTACAATATCGGTTGCAAAATAAAATGTTTAAGAACGATTTATGGCGCAGATATTTTGGGAAAGGTTACCGGCTGTTAACATTAATTTAAAGTGATAAAATACTCACTTTATCGAACTGAAAGTCTTTAAAATAAATATTAGTGCACTTTTGAGAAGCGTTGCCAGCTGTTAATTTTTTAACTAATTAAAATAATATGAAAATATAACAATTTAGGAAGTATTTTATTCGCAGATATTTTTAAGTAGAGTTGCCACATGTTTAATTATTTAATTTAAAATTTTCAATCATGACTATATTACTCGTAAAAGGTGGTGATCAAAATTAATATTGAAGGAGCTTTTTATTAAAATATATTTTTTTGAAAATGTTACCACCTGTTTGAAAAATGCAATT